CTGGCGACACGGGGCAGGATCTCCTGATCGATCCGGACGCCATTGGAAGGATATATCATATTGCATTGTTCCCCTCCCTGACACGGGAGGGCCTTCTGACCCGCGCGGTTGACCCCTAATCAGCGCAGGAGCCGACATTGACCCAATAACTTTCCTGGTCGCCAGAGGTGGTCAAATAATTGTCACAAAGACTCTATTTCCAGGTTTTTCTGGGTTCTCCATAGATATCGAAGACCCACTGAACGTATATTACAGATGAAAGGGGGCCCAAATCTGTATCAACATGGCTAATCCATGTTCATCTTAAGGTGTTGAAGATTCAGTCAGAACGGATTACTGATAGCAAACTATGTCATATGGTTTTGAACATGCGCGCTCGCAAGTCATAGCAACAACAGCCCCGACGCCCGGCGTTGCAGCCTCTGTAAGCTGCGCGGCGTTGGCTTTGTGGCTGTGACACTAAGCGATGGCCAATGAACAGACGAAAAATATGACGCATTTTGAGGAAGATTCCTGGTGAAACATGCAAATCGGCGTGTATGTGCAATGTATTGCAAAAGTATGCCAAACACAGCCTTAATCTGAAAAGTGGAGAAAGGGGCATTTATCACTGCTGCCCCCCACCTTGAAAAGTGAGGGGTGGTCATGACTCCCTGGCACCTACACTCTTGATTGCAGTTCAAACTCCCATACAAATGTGGAATGTGGAGCACTCACTTCAAGAAGCCCCTGCCTGCGATTATCTTTCCAGATATTTCGCCAAATCACCGGTGAGGTGCGTCCGTGCTCAACACCTAGCCCCTCTCTTCAGCTGTTTGTGGAGCCGGCAGGGGCGTGATAAACCAGGATAAGTTGGGGTAAGCGCTGTCGCCGTTGTTGAATGCACCGGGTGCCGGCCCTACGTTCTCAAAGCTGCAACAGTTAGAATAGAGGCATGCAATTGACCTGCTCTTTAAAACGACCACTTCAATTAACCTATGATGGCATCACACAATGGTGCGCATGAGAAAGTGCATAATGGTAACGTCATAGGCTGCAAACATCCTTAAACCAAAAACTTGCGTTCAAATTACATCAGCGCGTTACGTGTATGCATGAACTAATCACAAGTATCGCCGCTTCACAAATGCATGACACTACTCAACCATGCCAGACGTACACCAAACACGGGCATCATGGACGCGACTGGTCGCGTGGGCAGAGGCAGCGAACACCTCGCGGTTCGGTTCCGCGGCGGCCATCACATTAAGGCTCGTGGCTCGGTCCGATGTCGGTCGACTTTATCGGCCACATCGCTGATGTTTACATGCGTCCCATTTACGCACCCCGAAAAACATGTGACGGGTGCAGGAGATTCGTTTCGAAATGCAGGACGAAGCGGAGCCTTCACCTAAACTGAGGACAAAACGGAAAAATTACACATGCACCTTTTTGCAAAGATTCATATAAAATACCCTCGAAATGGGTTGGCCATTTTCAGGTCTGGAAGCGCCACGGTGTGCGTGACGGGTTCACAGGGCGGTCAGCGCAATCACAAACGTGATGCTTGTTGGTGCAGTCAGGCGCGCCATGCAGCGGACTTGGACAGCCCATGCACGTCAGCCACAAGCAAATAAAAACACCGGATGCGAAAGACGTAGAATTAAGGTCTCAAGTAATTATTGTTGCCAAATGCTTCTCGCGTAGCAAGCGATGTAGCAAATAAATCAAATATATGAGAAGTTATTATACGTGACATGCGTTTTTGATAGCATGAGATTTCCATGCTCCAAGCTCATGCTCCAGGTGCAGTATGATAAGAATACTACGCGCAGCATAGAAGACATGACATATTGAGTAGGTATATCTGGCTGATGGTTGCCAACAGTGCCAGCCATGCAAATATCACATTATACTAATGACACATCATAGCATGCATATCTGCAGTCAGGACATATGGTAGTCTACTCACACATAACTTTCAGTGTACCTTCACATGTGACAGGATTTTTTTCGCAACGTCACTACTCTGCGCGCGATACCCCACTGCTCGCAGTGGTGCCAGTGCACGACTCCGCCGGCTGGGGTGGACTAGATCGGTGCCTATTGCACCTGAGATGGCTGCTGCCAGCACAGCGAAGATCCGAAAACGGCAGAAAATGCTAGTGTCGACGTGTGATGTACAGACAAAAAACATGCGAGTGTAAACCTGGCAGGCTGGTGTTAAGAACACCAAGCTGTCACGATTTTGATAGATTCGGCTGATGCTCGCACCCATTCAGCCAACATGATACTTAAGCGCATATAAAATGAAAACCATTCTTCCAATTGTTATCACCTTAGCCCAAGCGACAATCATACTATGCAACAAAACCACTCGTGGTGTACTAACGGTGCGGGTAGGGTCAGGCGGTTTGAAACTCATATGTTGTCGAACAGAAAGCGTGGATCAATGAACACGATCAGAGCTAAAATAACACAAACGTGCTTATCAGAATGACTGAACCATTTACCACTCCCGGTTGATTCAGCCTCGAAACGTCCTACGGCTCCACGCTTGACCTTGCGCCGGCCCCTACATGACCAAGACTGTTCAGTTTACGACAATGCAGTGCATCTCTTTATTTTGCGTCAGTTTCTAAGTAAAATTATACTCCGCTGTTAAATCGGCTGCGTTTATGAAACCCGACAGATGCTTGCTGAAGTGGGTAGCATAATCCGCTCTCAGCTATTCCGGTGAATAGTAGAAATATACGGACGTTGAAGCAAATAGCTACTTTTTGCTCTACGCAACAGGATTCAAGGTGAAAGCCTCGGAAGTTACTTCCTACACTAGAGTTGCGCGTCATTCTCTCTTTTTAAAATTGGCTACGGGTCATGTTTTTGAAATTGCTCCAAAGGTGGGATATTCCCCTTTACGAAACCAAATAAGCAGTGCAAATGAACAGACTTGTTATTATTTATGCTTTCTGTCAATAACTTTATGCTCTGTTGAACAAAATGCAGACATATTTCAGAAATCCAGAGACCGTTCAGCGACTGTTCCGGCGACTATTGAGTTGAATTGGTCCAATGCAGCTCTCTCGAACCGTACATGTAAATCACTATTTTTGAGCGGACAAAAAGAAGCGGCTTAACTTCTACCACCTTCCTGTTTATTGCAAATATCTACAGAAACCAAGTGTTGTCACGCAAACGTAAGCAATATGATTGAAAATGTCAAGTATCAGGCATAGCCCTATGCCCCTTTATGTTCAGTTTAGTTCACCAAAAGGCTATTGAGAGATTTGTCCGCGTGCAAAATATATACTAGTGTCTGTTTTTATAGCACCAAAATACTTCAAGTTGGACGCCATGCTAACGCTTTAACACCACTTCATGCATTGTAATATTGATATCGATTGTGCTATTTCCTATGCAGTAGGCCGTGACCGAAACTTTTTGGTCCACTAAGATAGTGGTTTCTGATCACAGCTAGGCAGTGAGGTCGGTACAAGTGGACTATGATTACTTAGTCATGTGACAGAACTATCAGAACCATGGTTGCAAAATAGTAAAATATCCAATACTTTGCAAAGCCTAAAGACCAAGGACATCGTCGAGTCCACCGGCTAAACCTAGGACGTGGGAAGGTTAAAATATTTATGCACACATTGCGTAATATTCGCTTCTTGATCAGCAGGTCAACACATTTCGTTCAGGTGGGTTGTTACGTGGTGGATACTTGTTGAATAGTTGAATAATGATGGAGGACACCCCCAAGTCACCTGAGGGTAATGAAGAAGGGTTAGATGATAGAAAACTGTCTGGAGAAGCTACAAAAATATCTAAGAGCGACGGAGAGGAGATGCAAGATAAAGTAAAAATTCCTGACAAACCGAAAGACTCAAAAAGTCAAGAAGACGAGCAGGTTGAGGATAAAGGTAACTCACATTGTGGTAAGATATCTCTCTCAATCTGCAGAAGGATATCGTACGTCACGCAATTCTTGGTAATTTTCTTCGCCCTGGGAGCATTTTCCTTTGCCGCTTACTCAAGTATAAGAAGGCTGCAATCACGTCACATTCTTGAGAGCAGGGAGCTGGTCTCTCAGAACGACGTCTGGTTTAAGCTAGCTGTATGTCTGCGACCTTTTATGACACCATCGGCATTGGAGGACTTTTATCATTCAAGCCTCAAAATGAGCATCCGGTCTCACATTGCTGGTCTTTCAAAGCACACGTCTTGGGATGAAAAAACGTGGCTAGATGTTACGCTGCAGGCAGAGAGCTATGCAACATACTTTCGAGAGGTCCATCCATGGGAACGAATCCCGGTGAGCCAACTGTGGACATATCAGAACAAGAGTTTTCGGAAAGCGTTCAAAGAGTTCCAGGTAAATAATGTGCGGTTGACGCCCAGGGCATCAGATCCGCCAACAGGAGCAAATGAAGATAAAAATGGCTACACCGCGTCGAAGAAGAAGACAATTCATAGCTCAAGAAAGATTGATTATCCTCTTCTAGGAGATTACTCCCTTAGTCCTCTTTACGCAGGATGCTTAAATATCACTGTCAATGAAAGTATGGCCAAGCGACAAATGGAGATAAACGTAAAGCTGAAGAACTCGTTTGCTTCGAAGTACTCGGATACCAATAGCAACCACACAAGTGTTGTTCTCTTTGAGGCGGCGGACCTTTTTGTATATGATGCAAATGATGTTTTCACAGAAATCCCTATCATTCAAAAGCTCAGTAAATTTACCATCCACTCCCATTCACTGGAGCGCTTTTTGGTGAAGGGTTCGAGCTTCCGCCGAAAAGACACTGACAACTACCACTGCTCCAACCACACGGGCTACTCGCAGACCAACTGCCGGCAGTGGTGCATAACACGGAAGCTCCTAGAATCGATAGAGTGTATTCTTCCGTGGATGCAAGATTTGATACAGAAGCCTTGGCTGGACGAAAAATTCAGGAATCTTGCTCTTTGCTCAGACTATGAAAGCTTTTCTAAGACGCTGGCTGTTCAAAAGAAGTATTTGCAATCGAGTGAAGCTAACATGACTCGCCCGGTGGCAGACTGTCTCGACAGTTGCCCACCCCACTGTTCTACCGTCAAGGTAAGCATATCATGTTGCAATAATACTTTGCGATACGATAAGCCCAGTCTGTATGTATTGCTCGGGGGAGAAACCTTTCATGTAAACGGAGTGACGCGGTGCCCCCCCCCCCCCCCGCCCTCCACCAAAACACCTTCCAGGCTTGAATCTCACTTTCGATGTTGCGCCCTCGAGGCCGTCGCATTTGTGTGTACGCGTTTTCTCTGTTGTGCACAGGCAGTGCATCGATTCCCGTTGAGTGTATTGTGGTTCCCATGACATTTCAGCATTTGACCCAATGTGTGGGCACGGCGGACGCAGACTTACCGGAATTCCCCCTAATCTAATCAAGCTGTTCTCACCAACATTAACGCTTCTTAGGTCAGCATCCTGTCACTTGGAAGCAAAATGATCGACAGCGACTACGGTATAAGCCTGACCATCTCACCAGAGGTGGACTCCATTACGGAAGAACTCGACTACGTCCTCCTGAACCTGGTGGCCGAGCTGAGCGCTTCCATCAGCTTCTTGTTCGGCCTCTCCGCCATCGCCATCTACGACTGGCTGGTCGCCTTCTGCGTCTGGTCGGCGATCAAGCTGGGTCTGTTCAGGGACGCCGCCGGTGAGGACGACGAACCCGGCGCGTACGACGCCGAGGGGGCGCCGACGCTTTCCCCAGTGCCACGACTGCAGGTGCAGTCCGAGGACGAAGACACGTCGCCGTCACCCGCGCCGCCCGGCAATGACACCAACGCCAGTCTCATCTGGTACGTGGAGCCCAGCGCCAGGAAGGGCGGCAACCAGGTTGCGCCACTGGAGCCGGCGGGCGAGCAGCGCCAGAGTCCGAATAGCCTCGACCTGCCCAAGGACCCCAGCCCGCTGGCGACGTTCTCACCGTCGACAGACGGCGCACTGGAGAACACCACCCCGATCAACGCCTCGCCACAGCCAGACCCCATGGCATGACTCGGACAGATCCCCGAAGCACCGTCCACAGGGATTGTGCCGCGCGTCTGACCCGCCTATCTGGTCCGGGAGTGCCGGCGGGCGCCAAGCGCAGAAGCGCTCGCTCCGGGAATCGCGCAACAAGGGATCGGCACCACCCTTGTCGCGTGAGCATCAAAGTAGTGCTGTTTATCTTACTGGATGCTCGCAGCCCTGAACAACGTTGATACGGGCGCAGTTTTGTTCCAATGATCGCCTGTCATTGTGTGACACTTGTGTGACCATGATTGTGTCACACTTGTGTGACCCTCGTCGTGTCACGCTTGCGTGATCATCACTGTGCCACTTGTGTGATCGTTCACACGTCGACGACGCACCTCTGAAGGGGGCGTTCTTGATGGGTCTTGCGAATGGTGCCCTGTTCGGGGCCGCTTTCACGGGTTCGGGTTCGTTCTAGGCCGCTTTCACTAAAATGACTATTATCGATTCAATGGCTTTCGTTCGTCCATTTCATTGTTTTCAGCTATTCCTCCTTGTCGACGTTTTGGTGTTTGATGTGGACCCGTCACGGCCATTGATGTTGGAGGGTCCAATAAACATTCGGCCTTTCTTGGGCATCTACCCAAGATGTGGTGGCGGCACAAGTGATCACAGCCCAGCAGCGCAGACAGGACTTCTGCCTGCGTCATTCCAAATCAGTGGTCTTGGCGGGGAAGCACAGGGTTGATAAATAGTCCGCTGATAGTCAAGCCCCACCCACCACTTCCAAATAAGCGCCAGATATGGCCCATTTTTAATCAAAGGATGCTTTTCTTTAACTTTTTGAACTTTACTTTTTCTATAACTGAAATCGATGCCAGAAGCCACCGTGAGATAAATCCCGTCAGGCCATGCAAAATAAATGCCGAACGTCAGCGAATTACGTTGACACTCGCTCGGATGGCGGGTCAAATTGAACCCCGAAGGTTTTCCGGGATGGTTTCCGAAAGGTTCGGCGTAGCCGCGCCAAATTTTGCATAGCTGTAGACAACTGAATAGCAGATCGTTTAGCATCAAAAATTTAGATGTACCTTCAACGGTTGCTGACCAATAGCAGGTCAAAGTCAGGCAATGGTTTCAGCGAAGGCAATGTCTAAGGAATGGCTCAATCTGATCCAATAACGGAGTGTTAGACGAAGCTATGCATTTCTGAGATACTTTTTTAGGCAACACAACAATTGAATGAACAAATTCCATCGACCTAAGGTCAGTTATCAAGGTCAGATCAAGGTCAAAATCAACCTGCTTTATTACTCTAGGACTAGTTGTATGGGGTAGTTCCTGGTCCTCGTTTCGAATTTATTGATAACAGAAACCGCATTATGCACCTTCCACAGACTTTGAATGGTCAGAATACGTCACTGACATAGAATGACCCAGGTCAACACTTTGTTTTTAGGAACATACTGCCTAGCGCAATCTATGCCGCTTATCCAGATGCAAGACTCAAATTGGTTTTGTATTATTTTGGTCACCATGACCTTCAAAAGGTCAAACGGGGCCAGTGACCTTAGATGAGCGTGTGGCCATTACTTAGAACAATTATTAGGTTCCAGGGGCTCTTTGAAAACCAACCTGAAATTTGACCTTATTTGACCTTATTTGACCCGAAAGTCACATTCTACGATGTGAAACTGTGGCCTAAGAGAGTTCACGTACAGGCCAACACACGCTGTGAATTTTCTGTTTCTAGCCCCCTTAGTTCCTGAGATCTCAGGGGGGGTCAAATTAACCCCCACCCGAGCGAAAGGTATTCAACCGGCCACACCGGGGCGTGTTAAGTCTTAGAAACGCACAGACAACCGCAATAAGAAGAACTAGAGAAAGTACAGCAAAAGCGTATTAAGTGCACGTACGCCAAGGTCTTTAACATCACTTGTGTGGAAGATAATTTGTTGCCAAAATGTGCCAACATATAAATATATATATATATATAATATAGATATATATATATATATATATATATATATGTGTGTGTGTGTGTGTGTGTGTGTGTGTATATGCTGATGAGTATCAATATGTACATGTATTAACTGTTAAATAATGTTGTAAGTCCGAGGACACCTAGTGTCAGCGTTTAATACGGTGTCATTGTTTCTGAACGTTTATGTCGGGAAGAAGCATTACATTTTCACGTTAACCTATATTTCGCACTGTCATGAATTTTAAAACCTGAACACTGTTCACGTGTGCCATTTCAACGCCAAAGTAGCTCTGCATTACTGACATTACCGAAATATTGTCTTTCCCCTGAAAGGAAAATTGACTGAAGTGACCATGTATGGCCTGGTCTCAATAAATTATGGCACATCCGTGGATAGTGTCAGCTGAATATGCTCGAATAGGCCATTCTGCCAACCAGTCAGTTTTCAAGACATGCTGTTTGTAAATTTGTGGGCGGAGGTTAAACATCGAAGCAACGCTGCCTGTTAAAGGGGGTGTTCCCCCTCTATACGGGGTTTGACCTGAAATAATTATTTTGAGGAACTTTTGATGCAGTTCACGTTCATACCCCTTTTAAGACCGAAAACGCTCTGGCTGCTGAGTTACACGAACGCAAAAGTCAGCA